TAACAATCCTCAATCAATTTTTCCATCTGCACAACCCTCTGAAGCAACAGTCCGGTGTGATGGAGGACACAGAGCACAGATAAGGGCCTATTAAGGCCACTGAATGCAACCTTAGTGGTGTGAGCTGTGTTTAAGGCATGCTGCTGAGTTCAGTGTCTCAGGGGAGTTCAGTGACAGACTGGCTAAAAGCCTGTTCCTGCTGTAATGCTGGAATAAACACGTTTCCCTACTAGGACAAGGTCAGTGGCTACGCATGAAGCTTGGAATATTTATCATTTGTCAAAGCTTATCACCATTTTGCGTTGTACATCTTAGTGACATCTTAAACCAGATCCCATTAAAAGGAGCCTCCAGTGAGAGGAAACCTGTTTGAGTCTCATAACCAAAGGCCAGTAAAGACCACGGTGGCATTATCATCAGATATGTCACATATGTCTGTGACGCTCGTCAAATGGCAAGGACAGGGCATCACGGAGGTGATATGAATACATAACAATGGCTGCATGAAGACATACGGCTCCATATGAAATTATAAAAGGTGCTCTGCAGGTAGAAGTGATGGATTGGACAAACCAATACTCATAAATTAAAAATGAGTATCTGCTTTGCTCGACACTCTGACACTATGCCCATGTGTAAATGTCAAAGTGAAAGGGTTAGAAAAAAAAAAAGAAACGATAATTCTCTGAAAATAAGACCATGAATGATTGAATGAATGAGGGGATTCACAATTGAAGACAATAAAGTGAAATCTAAACATTACTGATATTTTCTTTCACCAGTTGAAAGTCAAAGTGAAAATATACGTTAAGGGAAGATTAAATTGTGGTTTTACTTCCTAAAGCATTAATTCAAGAGTCACACATCAAAGTCAAGTGGCTTAAAAGGTGACAGTCATTTTTTAATCCACAGCAAGAAACATGGTATATGAACTCATAATATTTTCCTTTTCCACTGAAAAGGAAAATCATAGAAAAGACATCAAAAAGCTAACAGAAAGCAGATTAAGCACAACAGTTCTCAAGCCTTCATGCAGGATACGCATGGGCCTATAGAAATTATGGAAAATATGGAGATTCATCCAAAATTCACTGGCTATGAAATATGTTTGCCACTCTCACATCGTCATTGTTGGAATAAAAGCAAATGCAGCTGGATATGTGCAGTACTGATTTCTGCACATATGTTAAAGCAGGAGGGATAAGCTCCAAACAAAACAGGATGTGGATGCAGTCTAGTTGATTGTTGCTTTGCAGTATGTTACCATGAGGTAACAATTGCAGTTTACAAACGATTCCAGACTCTGCACACTCCTCTGCCATCTTGCCCCAGTACGTATGTAGAAGCAGCTGCTGCTATGATTTAAATTTGTGAATGACATTCACCTGATTCACCAATACACAGTCAAGAAGAAGTGCTCAAGTCTTCTTAAACTCTTTATTTCTTCGTTTTACTTGATTGTCAGACATTTCATAATAAAATGCTAATGGTTGCTTCAGTGAGTTATTACTTTGTCAAATCTGAAGCTCCTGCACACCACCAACTTCATTTAGTGACAAAACTCATGAAAAATCAATCAAAATATGTCCTGATATTTGTTGGGAATGGTGATGTAAACAGTGCATTACACGGACTGATTTAATGTTGTTTTAATGTGCATGACAGCAATGACGTCTCACTCTGCCAGCACGCCATTAGATTGAAAGCAGGCAGTGGGGCGGTGCAGTAGCTCTACACCTCTGACTGTACGAAGCTGCCCAGTGTTGATACATGTATTTCAATTAGGTCTGTAATTCAGGCCATCCTCACACAAACATCAGACCAATATTGTAGGGCCAATCCTGTGTACCAGACTAGTTATAAATTTGGCCACTATATTCATCTAGAAGGAAAGTTATCCAGATGAAAAAAATACAAAACATTGTGACTGACCAACAAATCTGAAAAAATATGTTCAATTCAACTCAATTTTTTTCAAGAATTTTGGCAATTGCATGTTATTACAGGAGAAGGTGGAGGCTACATGTGCACTTTATAGTCACAGCATCATTATATTATTTCACTAAATTAATAAAACATGAAGTGAGAGGTGAAGGGCAGTCGTCGCCCCCCCCCCCATGGCCATTATCAATGGAAACTCATTGTAGAAAGATAGGGCTGACAGTAGCAGCAACGTTGTGGTGAGGCCCATCAACTCGTTCCTGCTTATCATATTATCACTGGTCAAGTGACCGTCAAGACCGTGCACGGCGCAGGCTTAAACAATGCTCAGGCCAACGGGAAATGTCCTGGTGCTCCTGACAGGCTGTCTGCCGCTGGTCTCACTAGTGCTTGACAGATCATAACTGACGTTGCTCAATACGTCAGCATTTTCTGATTTTATCATTTATTTATTCATTCTATAACAGATGTATCTGTACAGATCTGAAACACCTTTCCCTTGTTTTACAATCAGGGAAATTAATAGTTCTCAATTAACTGACTTTAATTTTCAGCATTTAGGCAGGTGCATCGAGTAGTCACAGCTTTATCATGTATTTTCCTTTTAATGTGAATTTGACACCCAATGGCTTTGGTTTGAAAGGGATATTTAACTAATCAGTATTCATGTGGAGTAGTAGTACAAACAGTATTTGTATTGAAAACTAAACCTAATAGTAATATACACATTTGGCCTACAGCCCTAGAAGAATAGCAACAGAAGGTCACTCTTACATAATAGACAGTAATTTATGCCAAAGGATATAACCGCATGTTTTCAATTTGGGAGAGAAATTCAGAGGAGAACTGCATTCAGTCATTAATTTTTTAAAACAGTGCCAAAAGTAAGCAGTGAGCTTAAGTCAATAGAATGTGCCAGGAGTGGAGCGTGTTATATCATTGGCTTTCTGTTCACATTACACAACTAAATTTGGGTTTCAAAGTGTATGTGCCTTTGGCTAATGTCTGTTTTAGGCCCTAAAAAGATAAACTGAGAGCCAAGCGCATGAATAATCAATTGTATATTTGGGGACTGGATCACGATCGTCATAAAAAATGCCTCAGCAGTAGGTCGAGTCAACATGGCTAAACTTATGTAAAGTGGGTCATTAAGGTTAAGGGGGGTGGGGGGATTGGATACCATTTCCTCTAGGGTAAACAAAGTGCGACTGAGAATTCTTGCTGATATCTTACTGAAACAAGGGACAGGTAGAACCTGTCACACACTGTGCAAGGTACAAACGTGAGTTCATTACTCAAGTGGCTGGGGAAGACGTGTTGCTGAGATGGCCTGAACTATTCAGTTGTCCAGCAAAAACGGGATGGCAAATCAGTATGTGCGAACGGAGGACCTTGAATGTCAGGTCGAAATGAGACTATCTATTGGACTGTAGCTGCTGTGGACCTGAAGAAGTCATGTCACTCTCTCATGAGGCTTTATCAGCTCTACTGACTAATGGAAAGTCCTCGGCCTTTAAAACTTCATAGCTAATTCACACCTCGATGTCACATGAGAGCCGCAGAGATTGTTCGCAAGTTCACATATCATATATGTAAGAGTTACCAGAGTCTCAAGAATTAAAGTGTGAATTGCTTTGAAACCAATGGGATGTCAAGATGGCACTGTGATTAGAGATTAAGGACACCGCAGCCATCCTTGGCTGAAACAACGAGGGAACGATGCCGCTGGTGCTGCAGTTCTACTCTAATGTTCAGTGCAGGTTTCAGACTGACGTGGTCTGCTTTGCAACTTTCTCAAACCATCTGTCCTCTCTGTCTAAGATGTGAACATTTGGGCCCTCAAACTGCACCCATGTTCCTCTAAATAGGTGAAGACCACCGACAGAGTTCCTTGTCTATGTTGTGTCTTGTGGCGGATTTTTTTAAATTTGTTTCGACAAAGTTTGACCCTCAAAAATTGAAATGCGACGGACTCCCCAGCATTGTGGCTAATAGTGAACTCCTTCAAAAGTTTCTATGTTCATCATGTCATAGTTTCATTTTGATTTGACACTGAATGAATGAGATGAATTTACACAGGTTGAAACTTGAATCGTGATACAGCTCTTCAACGTCTGAACAACTTTTGGCATTTCTCTTGAATTAATTAAGTACTGCATGACTGCTACCCTTTACCACAAAGGAGCGCCACAGTACTCACAGAGTCACTTCACACAAAATCTATTATGGCACATGTTGAAAGATTTACACCAAACAGACGATGGGTATGTTGTGATATGGCGCCTCTGACTGCACACAGCAATACTAAAGCATTAAAATGTATTGAAAACATTTGAGGTGGGGATGCAGCAATTTTATTTGCTAGACAGCTGCAAAAGCAGGATTTTTAGGGGCCATTATTGTTTTAACAGATCTTCTGCAGTAGATAAAAAAAACAGTTTTCCTACACAGGTTCATTCTTGTTTTTCATTATTCTTCATGTTTATTATTAAGAGGAAGTAAACCTGGAGATTATAAATCTTATTCTATTCCCTACATGTATGTTTGTATGAGCTTTGTAGAGTAGGCTGGAATATGTGACAAGTGTCTGGGCGACCCACAGATGTCTAATGCTGCGAAAGGAGTCAAAGCATCACTTAAATCATGATGGGTTCACATTTGACTGGTAGTAGCTCTAAATTCAACATGTAATGTTGAGTCAGTACAAATTACCTATCAACAGCATCTGCAGCAACTAGAAGGGCTGAAGGCTGTAGGCAAAATAGAAATGTAGTTTAAATTGCAGTTCTTATGTGTTTGCTGGATCTTGGCCCCTAAGCAAACTTAGACTTTATTAAGGTCAACAAAAAAAAAAATCAATGAATTCTCTCCAGACCCCTACAAAGTCAATAAATCTTCTCCACAAAAAGAGATTTCTGTGGGGGTTGTCTCTTGCACAACTCAATATTAGCTCCACTAAGGCTTCACTTTGTTGTCCCAATTTAGATTTTTTGACTCTAGCAATAGTAACCGCTAACCATAAATGTCTGTAAATTTCTATAATCTGTAACAACACTGACCTGGCCCAGCAGCTCAGGCAGACCCAGCACCTGTCCTGTGAACACTCCCAGGCAGATCAGGATGGAGTTGAACTGGCCAATGGACCCTCTGATGTGTCTTGGGGAAATTTCTCCCAGGTACATGGGGAGGGCACTGAGAGCTATACCTACCAGGAATAAAACAAGACATTAAAATCGTGCAAATGCAGGAGTTAAAGCACAGAAAAACCACAAGCCTAACACCTACACTGATAGTATTCAACCTCCAGCAACATTTGACAAACACTAAACTGCCAAGAAATGTGGGGCATCACTATGGATACTTATACAGATGACCTGTGCAATGGAAAATGTCAACATTAATAATGAAAGTGTAAGCAAGTGACTGTGCTCTGCTGTGAATGTGTGTATGCGTCACTGATTGCAATGGGGTATATTCAGAGTTAAGCACATGTAATGAGGGGTATTACCAAAACCGAGTTATATTTCAGTATTAAGACGTCAAACTTGCCTGAAAGTTCAGGCTCCACTTTTTTCTACAAATAAACACAACTTTTGTGATAATCAACTTAGAAAATAAGTATTTTTCTTGCATTTCTGTTTAATTTTAAGTTAAGCTACTGTCTGACAGTTTAACTACAGTTTCATCTCCCTTAAATGTGTGTCTGCAGGCAACATAACCCACAAATGACAGGGATGAATAAGCACTGATATTGTGCTCTTCCTCTATGATTGTAGATGTGCAGCCAGAAGAGAAAGTGACACCTGCAATCAAAGTCGTGTTGTTTACTGATCATCAGTGCATTCAGGTCTGACAACTAAGTGATCCTTGATCTCTGCCGATTCTATATATATACATATATATATATATAAATATTAATGTTATTTTCATGTTAGCTTAACAAACCACTTTTGAAATTGAGCTGCAAATGTTTCGATCTCATTTGAAGCTGCAGATAAGATATGAGCATTTTTTGAAAAGTTGAATCTTTCTCTGGGGTGGTGTTCAGCAACTCAGGTAAATGTGTGTTTATTTGTTTGAAGGCTGCTTGGGCTGTTTAGCTGTGATCAAAGTGTAGACTGTTAAAATGGTAAAATGGTGATGTCATTGTTGTGATAAATATGGTTTTTAAGCCAAATTACCTTCATGTCTAAGGTTTGGAAACTTTAATACGGGGCAACGTTAAAGGACCCACATCTCACATGTTTGAATAGAGGCTTTTGAGACAATCTCAAGTCTGTACAGCTTTTGATCAAACTTTGAGCTGTGAGTAGATAAACTCTTACCAGAGTCAACCCCCATTATGAGTCGGCCAATGATGAGCATCTCAAAAGATTTTGCCTTCTCACCCAGGGACAGCAGCAGTGCAGCTATTACAGCGAAGCTGTTATTCGCCAGCAAGGTTCCCTTTCTACAGTCAAAAAGAAAAAATGGTTGGAAAATGCTGTAAGAGAAGAGAACGTCTACTATATTAGCACAGGTTAAAATCATCCTACACAAATATAATACAAGTTCTAATCCATTTCAACTAGATGTTTTGAAGCAAAACTAGCAGAGATGAGAGTGGTCATAAGGGCTTTAATGTAGAACAATAACCAAGAGTGGCATTCATGGCTTCAAGAGGATAAAGAAATGGATGGACTGAGTGTGTATTCTGAGGAAAAGTACAAATCCACAAAGGAATGCAGCCCATTAACATGGTTCCTTCAGAGAACCTGAAGGGCAGGACTGAATCTGGGCCTTCGCTTCTCATATGAGACTAAAACTAATGGTGCGTGTTCAGGCAGCCCTCGTGTGCACATAACATCAAACATTTCTAAATCTATTAATAGGATGTTGCCCTGAAACAGGCAGCAAAGTGTAAATACCACTGGGAAACTGACACAAATTCCATGGTTACAGAACAATTCATCACATTTCATATGAGAACATCAAGAACAACCTGCAAATTATGTACCAGGTTGATAGTAAATACAGTATATCAGTTTAAGTTCAATATCCATGAACACCCTGTGCTTCACATCAGCAACCAACTGTGGTGTTTTTGTGCCTGGCTTTCAGATTTAACTTTGCTTTTTCATTGGCCTTATTTGACTTCTGACTACAAAGCTACAATATGATACCAGGCAAGTATTCAAGACCCCACTTACGCCTTCAAAACAAGGCCTTATTTGCCCCTTGAAACCTCACAAAGGTCCATAGTGTTTGTTGACTGAAGATCTGTTCAGATCGCTTCCAACAAAAGACCTGTAGCTTTCGAACTGCATTGCACCCAGTGAAAGTATTTGATGATGGATATGATTCATTTATTGTCAAAGTGTTGGACTGAGTAGTGGAGACCAAATCCAACTCTCTCCTGTATCAATGAGATGGAAATTGATGAGGCTTGAGGATTGTTAGGAGGCTACAACAAGAAGGATCAATTTAAGGAAATCCTCGTGTTTGCTAAGATGATTGGTCTGTTGGTGATTAAAAGTAAAAATTTGTTTTATTATCTAATGTCAAAGGTTGATGGAAAATGGGCTTTTTCCAGTTGATTTTGGTTTGGTTTGGTTTTTAACAGCAGTTTTGTCTTATCGTTCCGCGCGTCTGACACTGAGGTCTCCTCCTACACACTTGAGAGTGTCTCAAGAGCAGACTAGGTTTGAACTGAGTTGAAGGCTCCCTCACTCAACCCTGTCAAAGGAAGCACTTCAATGTATTTCAGATCCACTCACTGACACCACAGCAGTAGCACCATAATCTCAATTGTTTGCTTTATTAGAAAGACAAATGTGTTTTCTCTTTACTGTGTATAAATCTAACTAAGCTCTAACTTACTGGGTGGGGTGGGGGTTTAACCACTTTGACCTTTATACAAAATCTATATCATAAAGAATGTATCTGTGTTGAAATATTCAGACTTCAAGAATTAAAAAAAAAAAAAAGCATTTCCCTTAGCTTCACTGGCAAAACTTTTAATGAACCACTTGGTCACTCTTTGAAGTACTGCTCTTTTAGATTGCTCCATGTGCCCTCATCTGCTGATATATATTCAACTCTTCTCCCTGACATCTGAATTTCAACCTTTCCAAGACATTGTGCTAAAGTAGCAGATGGCCCACAGATGTCGAGCAGAGAATATGGAGGGAGAATGAATAATTTAATTTAAGTTTCGGCCTAATCAACATAGTGGGGATCGCCACCTGAGAAATCCAAGGTGAATCTTAAGGGCATCTTAATTTTCTCAAATGACTCAGAATGAGAGCGTCATAAGTCTTTCCCTGCTCCGAGACCGACATCCTCATCATTAATGGATAATGGATTCGTTTGAACGTATATTATTTCAGAGCACTGACGTCCGTGTGTCAGAGTGTGTCCTGGGGGGGGGGGGCATACAGCTCTGCAGTCGTTCACCAGGGCAGTGAAACAACAAAGCTAGGCTGAAACCTGACAAAACTCATCACACTGGCTGCCAGACTGGATCTCACAGTGCACAATAAGTTGTCAAACCACTGTCACTCAGTCTGAAGCAAACTATCCTAAACATTTATATAGGCAACGTATGGATGGCTGTAACTTTTTTATATCAAAAACAGAAATAATTCCAGGGCCATTTTTATAAAAAATACAAAGCAACATGATAGCTCTCTTTATTTGTGGTAAGTAGGAGATAAAAGCCACAGTAAGACAGCTCAGTATTTATGTCAACATTCATTACTGCCAGCACTTTATAGGACCAGCTGTCTCATTCACCAAGCATTCAAGTGAGATGAGGGGTTGGATGGGAAAACAACTAATGAGTGTCACACTGGGTCCACTACAGCAGCTGGAAAGACAAGTGAAGGGTAGTTCTAGTTCTTCATACATAATGAGCACAATACGCTAACTGATCCTGAGTGTCTGTAAGTGCAAACTATGGGGAAAACATCAGCGCAGACAGAGGTACAAATAAACTCTGCTTCAGTTTTCCTCTGCGGTGGATTTGGTGAGTCATGACTGAGCACATACGGAAATGGTTCTTTAAGTTCCTCTCTAGGCATGTTGTAAACTATATAAAAATACTCTCTGATTCATATTTTGTTTAACATGGTTTTCCCACACAAAAAAGGTGGAAAAAAAACTGTAACTGTATCTACGCTTACTTACTCATTTTGGATCAGGCCTAATGCCCCGCCTACCACCACCACTTGCGCTAGGTTTACTGGTGAAACAGCAGTGTGGTTAGTGGAGGAAACATCGAAGAGACTCAGCCACATGTTTGAGCCTCATTCAGACCCAGATTCAGGAGTTTCTTGAGGAGTCTGTTGTGCACCAAAATCTGCACATAGAAGACTTATCAGAACAGTAAGCGTAGTTATTTGTTTATGTTGTTTGTACGCTTGTAACTGGCAGTGGCTGACACAGTGTTAGCCATTGTGCTTATGTAATCTCTTGCTCTCTGTAGTGGCAAGGTTTCGGGTGTATCCCCCCTGTACCATGAATACTAGCACAAAAATAATGTTGAGTCGGGCAGTTGAATCAACACCTGCCTGACAGTCTCATCTAATACCAAACAGAGGCAGTGTATTATGTGTTACAGGGATGTCGTATTAAACCCAATTACAGAATCCCTTGAGAAAAGTCATTGTGGCTTTTCTTGTTCTGTGTAATGGCAAGTTCCCATGTACATTGTGAATTCCTCCATTTCCTGCAATGAGGTGACAGTGGCAGACAGTGATTTAAAGGGTTTGGAGGAAGGAGAAAGACTGTATAAGGTTTAGAGGGTAATAAAAGAAAGTGAGAACCAAGAGCCAGACAAAGAAAAAGGAGAAGAAAGCTCCAAAAGTGGGAGCATTGTACTTTCAGCCAGGCAGTAAAAAGATGTGTCATATATAGTATGTCATATCCTGGGATGTTTGAACCAAGCCAGAAAAGGTGGAGGAGCAAAAAGGAAAAATTGCAGTCCTTCCTCTTATTTAATAAGTCTAGACAAGCCAGACCATGAGGGCCAATTTGGCCCATGGACCCCTATTTGCCGACTCCGGCTTTAGAGTGAATACTAAATAAAGTAATCGATAACTTCATAATGTACACCTCAAGATGAACCGTGATCATTTTTTTTAAATGTCGCACTTCCAGATCATTTTAAAATGTAAAATTGTTTCTGCCGCCAAATCAAGAGATGAAAATTATTGATTGATAAATATAATTCATCATTTTCTGGTCAAAGACTTTCATGCTGTTTGTTATAGATATTTCTTTCTGTATTCTGATCTCACTTACAATGAAAGTAAAGTGATTATATTGTCTTTTCTTAATCCTCTTTGTTTCTCATCACTGTGTTTTAGCTGCAGTACTTTGGCCCATGTCAGAATGCTGTAGAATGATGACTCAGTTTCTCGTAGAAAGGTCCTTTATTCCTACACATTTGGATCCAACCCTGTGAACTGAAGCTGAGCCATAGCAGCATCACCATTGTTATGTGCACCGGCTAAAAGTGAGTCAGCTTCGTTTAATCTGAAAGCCTGTGTGAAGCCCAAAGTTTTCTGGCCGAATCCACCATTCTTAATTCATCCTATCGGTCCAGGACCGCTACACTGCCGTGATACATGTTATTATTATGACCACATGTGAGGCAACTCACCTTCCAAGTACTCTGATGATAAAGGAGACGGACAGTGCTCCGAGAAGGCCTCCAATAGCAAATATGGACACTGTGATGGACCAGAGGAGGGTGGCTGTCTCTGCTCCGATGGGCTCCCCATATCTCTCAATCCATGTCTTATTGTAGAAAGCTTTAATGTACTGCAATACAAGAGAGGCATGGGGGACAGGCACGTTTCAAATGTATCATATTTTTGAGAGTTAAACACTTACATGTTTTGCATTTTCCGTTAAACTTTAAATTCAAATGTAAAAGTAACTATGAAAATTCAAAACCTCAAAACCTGTTATGTAAATAATAATATACTAATACATATGTATAAGTGTATCACATTTATGACCCAAACTAATCTAAATTATTTGCCTAGTTGTAGGCTAAATATTAAAAAGAAAAAAAAGTGAGGAACTCGTTTACTACAGAAATGCAGCATGATTTACCAATTTATAATGTTTGTTTTAATGTGTTAATGCACTGGGGATATACAGTAATCCCTCTGCCTGTGAAAATTTACACAGCTCAAAATGTACTCTAATGAAACAAAAACATTAAAAAAAAATTGAAATAAATCATTATCAAATCATGTTGCAGTATCATTGTTACAGTGCATTTGGAAATTTTTCAGACCTCTTCACTTTTTTTGGCCCTGATGGAAGCCTCATGTCCGTGAAAACAGCACATGAAGGATTCTCAGACTGTGAGAAACAAGAATCACTGGATTGAACCCTCGAAACCTAGATTGAACTGTTTGGCCTCAATTCTAAACATCATGTCTGAAGGAAACCAGAGATGGAAGTGAGTGACTGCATTAAGAAAATGAATTGATTGAAGCACATGCTACAATGAGTCAATGAATACAGTGTTTGAAATTACCAACAAGTGTCTCAAAGCACTCAAGCTTTGATTGAAGTGTCCTTATGGATGAGTGTGTCGGTTCAAAAGCATTCACAATAAAAGACCTTGTAGTTTTTTTTTGTTTTCTTTTTTTTAGTCTTGCATTTTTCATTTGAGACTTGCTGTCTTATCTTTGCTGGCAGCTCAGTTATGAAATGAAAATGTAAAAGTAGTGATAATAGGCTGATGCACAGTGGTGACTCTATGTTTGACATACTCCTGATAGAGCTGAAAACAGACCTGAAAGAAGTTCTGGCACTTGTAGCAAAGTAATTTTCTTTGTCTACTATGACTCAGGAGTGATACGGCTGTCCTTGAACGCAACAGGCAGAATAGTTCCGAGTGCCGAATTTCTTTTGCATCATACTGAAAAGTGAACTTTCATGTCACACTGATGTGACTACAGTGCTCTGAAAAGACCATACCTCATTCCTTTATTGGGGAGAAACAAAAGAGGGGGTCATAGGTCCCACTGGTTTCTAAAGGTTTTTCATCACCCACCCTATTCTCATTACAGCTCAGCCATCTCACACCAAGGATCTGACGTCATCACTCCCCACAAACATACACCAAGCTCATTTAGTAATATGTTCACCTAACATTTCCTCCACATCTACAAATATTCACTCATGACCTCTACTGCCATCATTTTTTCTAAACAAATAAACAATACAAAACCAGTTTACTCAGACAAATTAGGTTAAGCAGGAAATTGGTTTAAATGTACTTATATGCCCTATAGTAACCTGTAATAGATCTACTTACTTAATAATCACATTTTCTTACCCTTCCCAGGCCTTATTTTGAATGGAAGATTTAAAATGCTGAAATGAATGCAAGAAAGAAATACACTGAATTACAGTATGCATGCCTGCTTTTTGTATTTTACTGCCTTAATTGAAAGAAAAACATGTTGATTGTACAATCATTTATCTTTTTGTCTGAAGAATGGATAGCTATCTGATCCACCCGGGACGCACAAAGTGACTAGGTGTAAATGCAGTCTTTCAACACCAAGCTGTATCTCTTCTTTGTAATGATCTTTTCTTTCCATCCCACTGCACTGCTGTCACAGCGATACTTTCTCTGTATGAAGTCAGGCACATGTGAGAAAGCTGATTAGAAACCTGGTTAAGGCCAAGAAAATGGCTTTGCCAAAGAGAAGACCAGCCAGGTTAATCGGATTTCTGTAATCCCCAACCCCGATTACGGACACCAGGTTTCTCATTTGCACGACAATAGAGAAACCAGACCACTGCCCAAAACCAAGAGCAACCCATGTACTTAGTGTAACTAGTGGCACTTAATTGCTCGATGTGTAAGTGTCTGCTTTTTCTGTGATGTGGCATTTTTCTGTCAATCATTTACATCTGAGAATGGGTTGGGAGTATACAGTTAGTTCCTTAATGAACTTTACATTCTGCAGCAGTTGGCAAACATAAAAGGAAAGAGGCTCGTTGCTTTATTTTATACGAATTTTGTAAAAACGGGAGGAGTCGCGGTGGACCCCTGCAGCGGTGGAGAGGAGTCAGTGCCAGCTTAATGATCAGCTCGTGTTCCTGGGGAGCAGAAGCTATGAAGGAGGATAAACAACAAGCAACGGCTCAACATACACAAGCTGGAGAATTATCTGCATCAGCAGACGCACAGAAGGGGGAACGGGAACTTGACAGGAACTACTGCATTAATAAGAAATAACTCGCAATTCCATGGCTGTAGATTAGGGAATTCGTGAATTTTGTGCAAACAATTTGTAGAAAAGAGAAAAAACAAGCTTAAGCTTGACCATTTAAAGGGTACCATGCATGATGCTTCTTAAAACTTTATGCTTGATTGCATTCTGTGTCAAAGTTTAAGTCCTAAACTTCCTTATCCCCATGTATTGATAGCACATAGAACAAATTAATGCTGGTTTTGTGATGGTATGACCAGGTGGGATGGTGCAGTGCAAGAGTCACCTCTTTAAGCACAAATAATACCTGCCTGTTTTAGTGTCTAATAAAACCTCGTGTGAAAAGAAGATCATCAGAGTATGCAGAGCTAAGATTTTTATTAAAAACCCAACAGCGCTGGTGATTGAGGCATTAGGCAGGTTGAGCAATTACAGTTTTGTGAAGCTCTACCTGCTAATTCTGTAAGAAAGGTTGTAACTGAGAAATTTGGGGGACATTTGAGAGGTCATCCACATTCAGTGTTTAGACACAGTGATCCCCTAAACCAGTTGGGCACTGCAACAGCATGTGCAACGGAACAGAAATGATTGTGTTTTTGCTAAATTAAGAGTTGATCATTGGCCCCTTATCAGAAATAATATAAGAAAAGGGACATTCTTAGTGATGATGCTGAGGACATATAGCACTGAGGTGCTACTCATGTATTGGTTCTTTATGATTGTGATTGTGATTCTTAATAGATGGCAACTTTTATGAATATGTCATTCACCTGGTGCTGGTGATGGGTTGAGGACAAATAGTATATGATGGGCTGTACAGTAATGAGAGAATGTGTGGTTCTCTCCTCCTCACTGTAAATAGTGGCACAGCATTGGAGCAAATCAGTCCTGATCCTGGAGATCTCACAATTACCAATTAGACTCACAGGTCAGAGACGCCAGGTTTCCTCTCTTTCCCTTTCATCAATGCCTTTCCCACCGAATTCCCCTCAGCAATTATGACTAACAATGTGTTGTCTAGTTTGCTCAACTCATACACACGAGCCCTGATCAAAAGAATTGTTCTCTCACAGTTCAAGTGAAGGAACTGTAAAGTTTTTTTTCTTTTTTTTGCATCAGTGTGTCTAATCCAGCACATGAAGGCAGCTGACATGATAACAAGTTGTAAGCCAAGGATGTTTCACACATAATCCCCTCTCAGTGCAGCAGATGATGTTACTGTGAGAACAAGCAACAAATAGAGTGTGGCAATAGCTCAAACATGACATGACACCGTTTCTACCTCAGTGAATCAGTAAATTGTTCCAGTGTCACATATTTAGGAAGAATCATACATTGACTTTTTCCCTGAAAACCTATTGTCCGTCATTTGAGGCTGTGAGAGCCTAACACTGTGACCTCCCTACCATCCTTGGTCCACTCTTATTCCAGTATGAGTCAAATTGGGTTGAAAATGTGGGGACGTCCTGCAGGGGTATTCTAAGACACATACGACATAGCAATGACTCCTGTGTGAGCCTGCCCAGGAACCATTTCACTGCTTCAATCAGCTTCTTACTGTGAGTGATGAACATAAAATTTTCTGAAAGTTAGAAGAGCTTTGGTTATTTTGTAGATTTTTTCCAGATTTTTCTTGTTTTCACTGTTTGAATTGGTCGGGGTTCAGTCGGAAAAAGGTGATGCCACTCATCTCTGTGCAGCAATCAGTTCTGAGCAACATTTCAGACAAAATGTACATCATTAAAGGTTGTATAAAGGTAGATTTCCGTGCCTTTTTTGATTACAAAGCAGGTCTAGGTTCTATATTAATACTGTGAAAGTATCAAAGTGCTCAGTCCACAGATAAATGCACACAGCCTGTATTCAGAAACTGTGCCTTAAAACGAGTCTTCAGGATTTCCATAACTTTTTGCAAAGCAGTCACCGCCCTCAGCCATGCCACAAGCCCAGTGGAGAGGCTCAGACCCTCTCTTCTGATTGGCTCACTGACCTTTTGAAGCCTGGGAGACGAGATGTAAAGCTATATTAAGACGGTTTATAAAACCAAAAATATATCTTCTTATGGATTTCAGAACTTCAAATAAAAAAATAATAAAAAGTGTAAAATATGGGACCTTTAATACATTATCACACTACTAGTGATAAACAAACAAACTGTGGTATCACTCTAATACACAGTTTGCAGTTTCTGATCTCCCTGATCCATATTTATTAATTTCCTGCATCAAAGACCTCAGACATCACATCATTTTTCAGGGGCGTTTTGCTGAATGGGAAAGTAATGTGACAGTAGATGTTTTTATCTAAACTTTATCTTTGATTGTTGCACATTGAGTAATGAGGATGATACTCTAGAGAAATACTTCTGTCTAAAATGTTTGAAGAAAACTTACCCTAAACACATCACATCATAATATTTATACTTAGCATTTACTTTTTTAATTTAAAAAGACATTACTGTTTGTTTTTACACAAAATACTTTTTCATGGAAGCTGACATCTACTTTCTGTATTTCCAGCATTATCACCTTTACTTGTATTGGCAACTGCAGAGCTAAGAGTTATAATGCTTGAATACTAATTAAATGACCTGTGGGGGCATCTAATTACCTCTAAACAAACAGAGGGCCAGAATGAGAAGTGTGACCTCTGAAATTGCTGTTCCTCATCCAAAAGTGGTGTCAGGCTTTTTAAAATTGCAATTTCAGTTTCACCAGTCAAAGATGATTTTCAGACTAGACTAGTCCAAGCAATATCAAATACATATAATTGTCTTCCCGCTGAGGTCTTTCTTTTCTTTTTGCTGACAGGAAGCCTTGTATTAACAACATCCACCCAGTAAACCCACAGTCACTTTAATTACATTTACCTCCATCTGAGACTAAAGATAAGGTCACAGTAAAAAATGAGAAAGTTAATCAAACTCCAGCAGCTACAGTATTTGCACAAAAAAAAAGACTTTTGGAAGTGATTATGATGCCACTTTTGAGATTAAAAGTTCCCTTCTGTGTTTGTATGCATGTAGGATGAAAGTATTATTGAACAACAAAGTGTTAGAATTATTGATCCACGTCCAATTATAGAATATGAACAGAACTTTCTGATCTGTCTGTCAGGCTAGTTGTTCTTCTGTGTTTTTAACAATGTGGAGGGCAAACAGAAGATTGCGCAAAAACACTGTGCCCTGTCAAATAACAGATCACTTTGTGGTGTTGAATAAGGTCTGTACTGGGGTTTGGTCAAGCACCAACCTCCGGGGCTGAAAACTGAAGCCAACACTTCAGTGCTAAAAAGCAGTTCTTCGAATGGCCACTTGAGGCGTGCTCCAAAAGCAAGTTAATCCCCATAGACTCTCATGTTTTGATCTGTGTAGCTAATTTCCCCCTTCATGACAATTGTACGGGGGGTGACTTTTTACATAACCCATTTAAATTTTATTAAGGCTTAAAGTTGGGCATAATTGAGGGTGTGCCACTTTGAGTCACAGGTGGGTGAGCACATGCACGAGGTCTCGGCTCCACATGCACCCCACCTATTTGCCTATTTTTCGATTAGCCGGGAGTTAGGCAAAGTCAAGAACTGCCAATATGGCGACAGCAAAGCTGCCCACTCTGAGCTCCAAAAGCGCTCTACAGAAACCTGTGGGTGACATCAGGGAGGCTACGTCCATCTTTATTTACAGTCTATGGTTTTAACACAACTATGACATTGCCTACAAACTCTGACTGTGGTCCTTTTGGATAATCAGTTGAATATGGGGGATGAATCAGTCTCTGTCAGCACTGAATTCTCATTCATTCAAGCATAATTTTATTTAAACCTGCTTCTGAAACACCATCTAAGTGACTGTTTATTGATTTCTTGTAGTGCTAACCAGCAAAATGTGGGAAATCAGTGGTAGTTCCCCACAAGAAGCCTCACGGGACAGCCCAACAGTGTGACTCACCAGAGCAGGAGCGTTGACCACAGAGAGGTTGTAGCCGTAAAGGAAAGATGACCCCAGGGAGCCGAAGAAGGCTGCACTCAACAGACAGGCTGTGACTGGCTGCTATTGAGAGAGAACAGAACACACAGGTTCATACCGGTCACACAAACAGAGATATGTTAGAAGCCTTGTCAGCGGCAGTCATATTACTGTTGATCAACATCAAGGTCAGACCAAAACCGAGGGAATTCAGCAGAGGACGTTTCATATAGGTCCAGGAATCTAGGCCAGGAAACTGGGTTATTCCCTTCCCTTTGCCCCTTTGTCTATCACTACTTAAACAGCAAATATTGACAAGACAACTGAAAGTTTATGATGGCGTGTGCTTGCTCTGTTTGACATGTGGGGAGAGCAGGAGCAAAGACAGACCAAAGGTGGAAAATGATAAAGGCAACTCTTACACAAGGTCTTGTAGTAGAGCATGAACAGTGTACTATAAATGTACAGTATACTAAGTGCCATTAAAATTTGTATGCTACTAAGGAAACAGGTTATTTCAAAAGAGTGAATGGAATTGCAAACACTTAGGTCTATTATTAGATTAAAGGGATGCTGTGAATAGGTAGCTCAGGTACTAAAATAAATCATAACAAGACTAAAACGCCAAACCTCAGTAGCAGTTAATTAAGCCCCATAATACATAAGAGCAATGCAGAACAAAAAGCTTTCAATACTTTGATTTATGATAAAATAGCTGAAAAACTAATGACATTCCCATCAGCCTCTATGTATTGTACTATGTATTTTGTGTTTGTTAGTTCATGTTAGCGTTAACTAACACGCAAAACTAAGATGGTAAACATTCCACCCATTTAAAATCAGTATTTTATCATTGTCATTGTGAGCATTTTACCATGATGACGTTAGCATTTAGCTCAAACCACCACTGTAACTAAGTACAGCCTCAAGAGATGCGAGCATGGCTGTAGAGTCTATTTTGTTTTATCTGAATCATGATAAAAATTCAAAATGATGATTGATCGTGCTCCCATAACTTGTAAATATTATATCAATATCTTGTACAAAGTGATGAGGTTGTATTTCAAAGGGGATTTGCAGTATCTGGACTGCAATGATAAACCACCTACTTGAAACTGATTTGGGCCAAGTCTAGAAGCAATTAACGCTCATACACTGCTAAGTGAAGAAACAAATAACTTTTGTATGCACAGCATCAAGCTAAACCTTACACCAACAGACCACAGGTCAGAGCAATGACCTGAAGGCATGGCTACTTGATCCAGACATAACAGGGTTAGTGTTAGAAGTAGGGGAGAAAGGATGGTGGACTGGAGTTAAGGCTACAGGAAAAGGTGAAGGCATTGTTAAGGCTTGGAGCTCATAATGTTGAGCTGCTAAAATGTAGTGAAGTGAAGCACAATAAGGTACGGTTCATTCAAAGTGTCACCCTCTCCACCAAAATTTGTGATCATTTGATGCTAAGCAGATCTGAATGTAAAGCTGGAAAAACATGGCTAAAAACATGGTAAGCTGTTGTATCAGTGTGCATGTATTTATTTTTAACAGTTCGTAAAGTTGGAAGCAACCCACTAAAAGTAAGCGCCTAGGAAGTAGGGCTATGTGGGAGTTGTGGTAATTCTGCCCATATATATTTATTTCATGCCAATAGCTCACTGATAATAATAGGCTTGTACTATGTGTCCCAGTAGAGCTCTGCCCCAGTAAAGTCCTTCTTTGTCATTCGCATATGTTACCATATAAACAGGCTTACGCAGCAGCATCTCCTTTACCACACTTGTTCTGCATTATAATGGACTCCCAATACTCCATTCAAGCATGATCTTACAGAAGTTAGACGAAGACATGATCGTGTGCATCAGGTGGCTAGAACGAAACATAAATAAATAAATGCAGAGGCATTTTTGCTCTGCAGGACCCAGCCCTTCATAGATATGGGTTGATAGATAACAGCCACTTCACTTCACCTCACTTCACAATGCATTTGTATGGTACGACAGCATCAATTTTTTGCCTGTTTAAGCTATAGCATCAGAAGAGCAGCCAGGGAACCTTTCCTGTCTTTTGAAGGACACGTGGTAAAAACACAACAACACTGATGTGGAACTCTGTACAAACTGACAGCTTAACAAAGTACACTGTAGAGGCGGCACATAGTACAATAACAATAAGACAGTAAGAGCTGACTTTAAATTAGACACTATACGACTCCTGTTAATAATTTGATTCATTCACACAATACTCTTCCTGGCCTCTAACCTAAATATTATTTAATCCATAATGACGGACATACACTGTCCATTGGTGACATTTTGAGACTATAAAGAGAACATTTTTAATTTCCTGTTTGGTTTTTGTACAATTTGACTAAAATTATATCATATGTGCAGTTTAGCTTAATAATTCACATGTACAGGACAAAGAGTTGTCAAAATACATATTTTGTTCCCTTTAAAGTTTATGAATCCATGCACATGGACTGCTTCACCAATGTGCTCTCCCACATGCTCTGTCGTTTTGCAATCTCTGCACACAGTTAAGAAATCCATGCACATGGATCACCATGTTTTTTTTTTCTCATAGCATGTGACCCTTGGTCATCTCCATACCAGTTAAGAGGTTTAAGATTTAAGAAGGAAAAAGTCACTTTCTTGACACTAAAAGAAAAGGATGAAATAGTTTCTTTTGTTTCAATTAGTGGCGCCAAATGGATATGACACACGGGTTGTGGTCAGGGTTGCTATGCCTTCTATAAATGCTTTATTACTACCTGAACAAATTATACATATTCTCAAGTTTAGAAAGAGGTAATTAAATAAGAGCTTAAATTCTCCTCTTAAATTCTCAAATCTCAGTAAATAATTTGTTGAAAGCAACCAGCTGCACAAATAGATACTGTTTTATGACTAATAATGATGCTGTGAATTATTCTACCAATGTCAATTACAAACTGAGACAACTTTGATTATCCATAGTTATAGTAATTATAGTAAAATATGTACATAAATGTGATTTCAACGCTCACAATAAAAATTGTATTTTCTTTTACTTTACCTCAAGCAGCACTTGATAAACTACATTTTATACATTTTATACAACTGTGTTTTACTGTCCCATTTATCTTCCTATGGCTATTTGCTGTATGTCTTCATGGATTGGATTTTTTCAAACCATTTTCCTTGTAAGACATCTCATTTTCTTTGAGTTTATAGGGAAACTAGAAGACAAATGTCTGCTGCATACAGTGGTTAGCCGATGAGATATAAAAATACGATCAGATTTTAGACAAGCTCTCATTTTTATATAGGCAAAATTGAAAAAAATAAGGAAATGTTGTGTAGGGAAAATGTAAAATAGATACATAATTTATGTTTAATTTATGTTTAGCTTAAATAAAGAAAACAACAAAAACAAAAACAACCAGCATAAGATAGAAGGCACAACGAATCTATGTTTAATTTATTAACTGTTTGGGATGAAAAAGAAAAAGAAAATTTATGCAATCAATTTACCAGTAAATTATTTAGCTTACTATATTATTTATTCATGTCTCCACTTATACTTTTCATTTTTCAGATAACATATTTGTGACATTTGTCGCCTCCGAGTCACATTTAGAGAGAGGAAATATATTGCACATATATTTCTTACATGACACTCCTACTGATGTAGGCAAGTAGGAATACAGGTATGAATATAGGTTTATAGGCATGAATATACACCTGTTTAATAAATACATAGATTTAAATGGAAATGTTAATGTACAGTGCATTGAGAAGGTCTTCAGACCCCCTCATTTTTTTCACATTTTGTTATGTTGCAGCCTTATGCTAAAATAAAAAACAAAACAACAAAACAAACTTCCCCCCTCATCAGTCAACACTCAATACCCCATAATGACAGTGAAAGCTAAAACACGTGAAAACTGAATTTTACAAATCTTTGCAAATAAATGTGTAAATGTATTAAGTGTGGTTATTACAAACGTTTTCCTTTTACATTTAGGAATTATGGTGACTACTATGCTTTTGAACCTTCAATACAGCAGAATGTGTTTGTAGCCTTCGCCTGAACACAATCCTGTCTCTGGTGTAGAAACATCTCAAAGATGATCAAGAGAAATGGGAGGAACCTCAGCTAAATTTCAAGTGCCACAGCAAAGGGTCTGAATACTTATGTCAAAAAAATTCAGTTTTCACTTTGACATACTGAGTGTAGATTGATGAGGGATTTTTTATCTTAGTATAAGACTGCAACAATATAAAATGCCCCTCTAGGCCTCCGCATCTCACATGTCACTATAAACAAAGAGTAAAAATAACTACAAAAGCAAAAATCAAGTTTCACTGAGGTCTTTTACAGTTTTGTTCCTTATTAGTTTTATTTCTTTATACTTCTTGAATCCAAATTTGATGTGATTTTAGCACAGATTCAAACAGCTGAGAGGGCCTCTGTTTCAGCACCAGGTCAGAGCAGCAGCAGGACTTAATAGAGCAAAGAAATCTGCAGTGAAAGTGCAGTGTCGTCACAAATACATCCTGTCTATATAGTACTATCATCTGATCAGGTTAATCTATGACATAAGAGGCAAATAACAATGACATGTCAGACAGTTGTGACTTACATAGTCAAACTGATCACATTTTTACACATCACAAAAGCTATTGTCATTTGTTCAACTGAAAAGACGGATGGCTGTTGTGTTGTCAGTGACTCCATCAAACTAACCTTTTTCTTCCCAGAGTCGGTCATCTTGTTGTCAACCGGACTGTCCTTCTGTGGTTTGTCCATCTTAAAGTTTCAGCAACCTTAAATGAGAAGATCATTATAGAAATCTAGTTCATACAGAATACCCATAGTATACCATGACACATTTCACAACAATAAGAGGGAAGTGAAAACTACTGCGTGAATCATCTGCTGAAAAGGAAACGACAGTGCCTCTCGGTGCTGGCATGCAATAGGCACACTAGCACAAGTAAAGACAGGATTACAGGGGGTCACAAGTTTAGGAAGTAAAAAAAGTACACTTCAAGTGCCAAAAGCAACACAGTCAAATCAGTTTGCAAACATGCACAATCTTTTAAGTGAAGTCTTACCAGCAGTATCTTTACTACACTTTGAAATATTGCATTTTTAAACAGTTTTTCAACAACAGAAACAAACACAATGATCTGGATTTGTACTGCACCACAGTATAGGAATCCACCATGGTGGCCAAGTGTAAAAGCAAATATAGCAAAGAAAAGACTACCACCTAGTGGTTATGAGAACAGTAACACTCAAAAACACTGGACTGGAGAAAAACTGTCGGAAACTGAAAGAATACTGGGTGTCTCAAAACAATTGTGAATGTATACCATAGGCAGAGCTTCTACCAAACACAGCTGGTGCAGGGCATTGAACTGTCACATGTATATCAAGCTACAAGTCAATTCTTAACACCCATACTTTTTATATGTTGGTTTTGGCTTTGATTGTAAACAAACAAGACAAGATCCAGAAGTAAGAATTTTCCATAGAACTGATAGGAGTCAGTGTCTCCTACTGCAGTACTGCTGATTCCCTCTCCTACCACACACATAATTACATTTAACAGCATTCAGTCTGCTTGCAATTTGTAAATGAGTCTCTTGACTGGATGACTCGAATGAAAACCAGCAGGACACCAGGAGTCCCGCCAAGCAGGATTAAAAATCACAGCTGTGGAGTGAATTCATAATAAGACACGAGACAGATCAAAAAGTTCTATTCTAACCCTCCCTTTCTTCAATTATTTGATAAAACCACTACTTTTGTTTTAAGTTAGTAACTCACTAATCTGGATGCTCAAGTTGTTAAAGTGCTAAATGCCATTTACTTTAATTCCGGTCCATATTTGACTATTTTTATTTTCATGGTGTATATTGAGGGCATTATGGGTTTATATCAGCCTACACTTCTGTAAAACCACAGTTTCAGTACTTTAAAAACACAAAAAAACTATTTAAAAAAAGCTAATCACAAGCTGATAGCCAAATAGTAAAGGCACATACCACATGAGCTCATATACCCTGAGCAGCGAGTCCCCGGTTCCACTCCCAGCCAGCCAGACCATTTGCTGCATGTCCCTTCTTTTCTCTGTCTGTTTCTACTGGTCCAATCAAATAAAGACCTAATCTGGCCAAAAATACTAATCACTATTACAGCTCTATGGACAAATTTAATATTTAAATAATTTAATAGCATGAAAGTTCATCCTTAACTTTGAAAACTCAAATCACTACAGAGAGAACTCTCTGGCTCCAATTCTTTAAATCTGTTTTTAGTAATATTTAAGATTGTATATACACCTGCACCACACACACTGGTGCAATAAAAATCCAATACTCTAACTATTTTATGAGGAATGAGACTAAATACATGATTAGCCTAAAAAAATTGGTTGTGCTTCAAAGTCACTGTATTTGTATTCACTACCTGCAGCAGAAAAAAAAAGATGCTGATTCATGTCAGAGGAGTGAGCTGCACTGAGCTTGTTTGTCTAACATGCAGAGCTGAGTTCACTGATTGTCAGGAAGCCTGGATATTGACTTTAGGATACCCCCCTCTCATGTCTGTGATCAGACCATGACCCTAATGTAGCTTTAAAGATAACCTCTATATGCAAAGGTTTCGGAGTCCCCAGCCTCACACTGGGAATACACACAGTGTGACTTGTTTACTGTGCCAGACACTCTGAGGCTGGAGCAGAGAAACAAATACACAGAAACAAATTGATCTAAAGGCTATTTCCAAGTCATTTGTGGGTTGAGCTCAACAAATTATTGAATAATTGAATAATTTATTCCTCTCCGTGTAATTTATCATTCCGACAATAGTGAGTGTAGGACTCTGCACAACATAACTCTCAAATACTGTATCACTTCAGTATTTAGTCACCTCCTTAAAGGAATATGTCCTTGAAACATCTACCGTATCTAGCTTTTAAAAGCTGGCTTTGAAAAATCTGAAGCATGCTCTTTAGGGAGAGTTTAGTCTCCTTGGAGTCACAGCAAAAACAAAGCATCAAAATGTCTCAAACCAGCGCTGCAGAATAACCCAACTGTCCACATTTAAACTTTTTAAAGCCTCTTTAAGACTCAAGTTCAAGTTGTGCTTCAACAGCACAACCCATGGGATTTCCATGTCAACAGCATGGGTCATCCCACCAATAAAACACCAAACACAAGACGGAAAATATCCATCACTCACTAAAAGTGATTTACAGATCTATCAAGACAACACAAAATGCATCAATACAACACTAGACACCAACTAAATCTTAGTTATTGCTCCTGTCTGATGATGGAGGCTGGTTACTTTAAAATGATTACCAAAAATTACATTTTTCCAACTATAACTCAAATCCTTCTTGTATGTAAACATACAAGGACTGAGACAAATGGTTGAAGTCATTATGATGATTTGATCATGGTTATTTTCTGATAATGTTATAGATCATGATATAAATATAAAATCACATACACAGTCAAATAATCAAACTGATGTCCAAAGCAGTTCACTGCAGTCAGCAGCTTTGCACTGCAAGAGATCAAACTCTTCTGCAATGCATGTTGATTAATTACTGGACAATCGAAACTTGTAAAATCATAAAATCATATAACATGATGATACAATATAATCCCACTATGATATGAAAATATTAACCAGCCCCACGATATACTGTACCTCAGCTTTATGCTACCACAAATATCACACATGGTTGTAGGTACTAATTATAATGATTAACATTGATGAGCCATATATCACCTTATTACTGTATCTACTTCTCTCTAGTATTATCCTAAAGGTAAACAACATCCACTCATCCCATAGTTACACAATGCAGTCGTGTTGACAGTTAATTCACCATTATGCTCCACTAACTCACACGAAATACATTTAAAAATGTTTTAAACAATCTTGCAAACAGCTTTCCATTACAACAGTCGAAAGAGGAAGAAGTGTCTGCACACCTTTAACAGCCAAGATATTTGCTTGGTACAATTCCAGCAAACCATGGAACAGAGGAGGAAGTTAAAAATAAAAGCCAAAATCTCCTCTGTCCACATTGTTTCCCAGACTGAGTGAGAAGTATCACTGCAGGGATACTCACCCACGCGCAGGCTGTGTATCCAGTGCTTACAGGAACGCTACTGACCCAGCGCTACCTAGACTTGACTGTCATTGTGACACTGACAAATGATTAACTTTGATGAGTCCATCCCTCCTGCTCCCCATTTCTCTTTTTAATGTGATCATGCCAAACTGATGTCAGCTGCACTTTGTAGAGTGCAGCTAAATAAAAAACTGCACATGTGGGAAAAAAAACAACTACACGTGTATCAGCTGATAGCTCTGCTGAGAAAAACAAGGCGACACTTTAAGAGGCACCTTAGCAGCCATAATCACCATTTTATTTAACATCAGCAGTTACACTAATGAGGGCGTTATGGCAGCAGTTAATCAAATTAATTTGCGAAAACGCACTTGTCCTCACAGAGCATAGGGACGGTTGTAATATAAAAAGTAGGCCACTGATTTGTCTTCATTAACATTTATTCAGGAAATGGTGCACAGTCCAATCAGATTTTAAAGGGTGAACCTACTCACTCTAAGACAAGCTGTGAATGTCTCTATGCAAAGATTCCTCCAGTGGTTTAACCTGTCATCATGCTGCAGTGATGTACAGGTGTACTCTAGGAGCCTCTGATATCGCTGTTGAGTGTGGTCACAGGTGCAATAAAGCACACTTCTCAACCACACCCAAGTGTTTCACTGGGTTATCGCACCAGAGGGGGCAGTTAAACATGAAACACCGAACGTAAGCATGGGGCCCACAGACAATTTTGCTTATTGACAACTGCAATAAAGTTGATTCAAACAAGACAATCGCATCCCCAACATTAACAAAAGGAGAGAAAGACAGCATTACTCTGTCTAATCCTACTAAGAATTGTTTGCTCTGCCATGAAGTTTCAGTCTGTCATGGCTTACTATAAAAATAAATATAGTTTTTATTCTATTTTATTTCCACTCAAAAGTGAATAGCCTGTTACTTACCTTGAATTGTTTGTAAGGAATTCATCATGTCACTGAGGAGCTGATATTGTTCAGCTAATAAATCACTAATGTACAGATACAGATGTTGGTAGAAAATGTCTTTTTTTTCATAAAACTAATGAAGCGTGCCCATTCATCTTATCTATGCCCCATTGTTCTGCTGCCTTCCTTGACCCAGTGTGAGCATGAGGACCACCGCACTTCATCAACATACCGGCCAAAGTCCGGGAACACCACTCCAGATCAGACCGTCTTTAGATCAGAGTAACAACAGAACCGATCTCTGTTACGCCAGCTGCGGAGCTAAGATACACACCCCAGCCGAAGTTATCCCACAGAAACATGTTCGATTTCCTCTTAAATGGAGCGACAACGCCAATCTAGAAAACAAGAACAACTTCTGCTACTGGTGGAGTCATCACAGACACATTACAGCGTGTTACACAAAAGCTTCTCTTCAATCCCCCCCCCTTAAAAACCCCTGTCCTCAGGAAGCTTTTTCTCTGATCAATGGCTGCCTTATTCCCCCTTGGCTTCACATTAATTATATTGTTGAAACTACTGCCTGACAGCTATATTACAAACATGTGAGCTGCATATCTGGTTGAAAGAGCACCCATAGTATCATAAACACAGGCCAAAAACATGACATAGTTTCAGTTTGATTGCAGCAGCACATTGTGCAACTCTTGAGTGTATACGGCTTGCCTTTGTGAACTGTGCTGAAGAAGCATTTGAGTCAGAACAGAGACACCATGGGAAAAAGATATGGCCAAGTAATGAAACTCGGGCTTGCAAGCTGAACACCCCCTTTGGGACATTGTTTCTCAGCCCTGGAGTCTAGGTAACAGAAGTGTTAGGTTTCCAGGGCTCTGGATAGACCTCTAAGAGGGAAAAGAATCCATGGGTAGACTGTGTCAAACCAAAGCAGTAGATGACAAAATAATGTTTTTTCGTATATTTCCAAAATACTGTACATTTTGAACACGTTCATGCAATATAATTTTATATAGCACACACAGTTATTACATGTCTCTGTTCAAATGTGTGTATATATATATATATATACATATACATACAAATAAAATTGAACACAAAGAGATGCAAAACCATCCTAAAGAGAGGCAAAACAACTATGACGAGATGCAAAACCACCACAGGAGAATCACAGAGAGAGAGATGAAAAGCAACTACAAAGAAAGGATGTAAATTGACCACAAAGGGGCACAAAATGGCCATAAAAGAGGCAGAGTCATGTGTTGTCATTTTGTCTCTCTGACATGTGGAGGGGGGGGGTCCATATTCTCATAATCCGTCCATGCACACAACACTGTCTACTCCGTACATAAGGTACTGCCCTAGTGCAATGTGTTATAATGCACAGGGATAAATAGACAATTAAAGCCACTCTGATGTTGACTCTGCCAGCATTACAAGGTCTTGTTTTATCCCGGAGATCAATGATTCCTGCCGCGGTGCATGGTTTGTAAAACTGATGTCAGCAGCTGTGTTAAACATTGACTCTCTCGCTGTGGCAGTTGCTCAGTGTCACTCAGTCGCCACAGAGAGCTATTTGTGTGTCTCTCTACAAATGTGTTATTGTGAATGAATGGAAAAATTTAAAAAAGCTACCAAATCTGTACTCAATGACAGGGTCATTCAGTCAGTGAAAATCAGAGAGAAAACTCACCAACCCTTCTCAGGACTCTCGCCATCCAAAAAGCAGGATTTTCTTCCAGATTCCACATCCAAAGCAACTGCAAGCACATAATTAAAAAGACACCATTATCACATGAGAGGTAGCTGGCAAACTCAATTTACTGAAGCTGGACGTGAACCGAAAGCGGTTGGAGCCACAGTGCAGAGTGCTGCTCAAAGAGGCCACCTTCTTTTCTGATCAGTCAATCATCTACTGTAAGTATTCAAGTCAAGTTAGATCTGACTAGACTAGTTTCAGTCAGCAGAAAAACATATTAAATGACCTAGCAAGCTTTGTTGCCCATTGAATCTTTTCTTTTCTTTTCTTTACCTTTACAGCAACAACACTTTCTGTTCAGTGGTCTAAACATGGCTGATTTTCTTACTGCAGTTTCTAAACACTAGGGTTTTTACTTCACAGTGTGGCTGCATACAACCTAATATCAAGAAACATAAATGCTACTCTCATAACCCACTTACATTTGAAAACCACATGAATGTTTATATTCCACTTACCTTTTTATCTTCACATTTATATCTTCATCCCATCACAAAGGATGCAGTGTTCCAGTCAAATTATTCTATTTTCTGCTGCATCTTCTCAGCATTGACACTTAAATTGATCTATGTGCAGTTTGCCAATAGGCTGATCATTGTTTGACTCACTAACCTGTAGTGCTAGAAGGGGAGTTTCTTTACTGTCTCTAGTAGCAAACTGTGCATAAACATTGTGACAGAAATACAACCCCTCTGGCTATTTCTTCATTTAGCTATTTGTCAGATATTTTATCCACCTTCCTCCACCCTGGAGCAGCGGGGCTGGAAGGAAACTGGACTTGAGAAAACACCTCCTTTAGTCCTTTTTTTTTTTTCTTCCTTTCTTTACTGTGTTCTGCTCTCTGAGAGTATCCTGCCATCCTAACCCTGACCCTGTTGCACATTCAAGGTTGTGTTGTAACTAAATTAAAGTTTGACAGATAAACTAACATTCGTGCTCAAAGGTAACAAGTGATAGGTAGGCCTAATGTAAGTTGAACCAGCTGGCAGAGCAGAAACATTTAGCGCTACCTTAACTGTCTTCTCAGAGAAGGACGTTAAATAGGAAGTTAGAGGTAGAGTTAGCGATTTTAATCTAATACACTTTTTTTTATCAAATTCAGTTAAAATCCCCTCATGGGGATAGCTGTCCGCTCAATTAAACCCCGGTGTTTCCACACAGCCCTAGCTCTGTAAATGGGACACAAACAAAGTGGCTGGCGTGAGTCGCACGGGCCGCACAACACTATTCCAGCCAATCAACGGCAGGGGCGCTCGTGCTCCTGCACAGGACGATATCAAGCTCTGTCATCAGGTCCGAGAGGAATAAGAATTCATTTTCATCAGTTTAGTGTGAGGCCACTGATCATTTTAGAGCAGTTTCAGTGTTGTTGTGTGTTCTGACTGAAATTCCTCCAGCAGATAGCATTCTTAAAGAAAGGAGTTTATTTGCACTGAAATAATCTTTTCACGTATCTTGATGATTAAAGAGGGTTGGATATTGGCCTATAGGTGGTCAGAGCATTACTATCTAGGTAGGGTTTCTTTAGTAAGGGTTTTACAACAGCTGTTTAGTTCGAAGAGATGCATTAATAATGTTCAGAACATGACTAGAAACACTGTCGAATACCTGCCTAAAAAATGCTGGGGTGGAGGACATTATCAGTTGAGTAGCTGATATTTATTTATTTACATATACCATACATAATATAATAATATATAAAGAGTTTCCAGCATTCTATGTAGTAATGGTGGAAAAGTAATCCTTTCTTGTCAGACGTACTGCTTTGTTGCAGACAGTCATGGCTTCTTTGTATATATTACAGTGAACTATGAGTCTAGTTTTCTCCATTTTCTGTCAACTGCCTGACAGAATGTTTTGATCTCATTTACACTGTTACTGTTTAATCATGGGGACATTGTGTCAGCCCAGTTCTTCTTAACCTCTAGTGGAGCAACAGTATTTAGAACAGATGATGACAAGGTTTTGTTCGCATAGCCATGGGTGGGTACCCACTCAGAACTCAGCCCACCAAATCACAGGGTTTCTAACACACATAGGGTCAAGGCTGAACGAACAGAGAGCATTCTCTGGATAATGTGATGAGTGAAAAAACATTCCTGTAAATTTACATTCTCTGTCTCTGTTTGCTACTCTATTGGTCATATGGGTGAAGATTTAATAATAGTGTTTCTGTGAGTTCGAGATGTGTGACTGTGTGGCTATTATGCTGCTGTGCTAGGCTGTCATAGAGTTGAACATCTTCAAGAAAGACTCCAGTAAATGTTCTGTTCTGCTAGCCACTGTGACTACTAATCCAAACCTGAGAAAACATTAACTGCATACAGTAATCACGGGGAGTGGCGGACACAATCAAACTGTAGCTGCCTTAAGAAAACCAGCTGCCACAACGCTACACACAAAATCAGGTGTTGACACAACATTTTCTACTCCAGTAATTGTAGCAAGCAAGAAAATGTAAGATTTTGCTTCATCTTTTGAGCTCTTAACTAAATTACTTCTTTGAGAGAAAACTCTCAAAGCCCTGGAGACTTAATAATATATGAGCAACGACCAAAGCCTGTGAGAAAACCATCAAATCCACAATGACACCTGGAATAATTTTCAGTACCTTTGTTTGCTTAACACTATTGTGCTGTAATACCTTGTGTATTCAAAAGATTTAACAGAATCAGAAATTAACTACATTGGCAGTCAGAAGAGTGCATACTTCTGGTAATGCCAAACAATTAAAGATTAATTAAAACAATTAAATACTCACAGCAGATTTAGGTAATTATACTATATTAATTGTAGACAGTTTCTTACCACTTTCATGTGATATATCATCAAAGTCATGCATCTAAAGTTTTTGTATAATATAGTTTCACCTTGCCACATTTACTGCACCTCATCTATAAATTGCCGTAAACTGCACTGAATGGTCCTCAAGTCAAAAAAATACAAATACTATTTGTGGACGTACATGGTTGTCAAATTGTTAAGGTGCATGAAGGAAGACTTGATTTGGATTGGATTATGCCACATTTGGAGAAAACTATATGTGTGTGTGTGTGTGTGTGTGTGTGTATAGATACATATATGAATGTAAGACAAAGACATAAACTAGTATGTGGCACTTTTATACCACTGCAAATTAAATCTCATCAATAAAATGAGTTTATGATTACTTGATGCTTTTGAGTTATCAGCATTCACTTGTGTTTTCACTGGATTAAACATTAATATGACAAAAACTATAAATGTCAGTTAATTATTTGTTTCCCCTTGAACAGGTATATCAATGCATGTAACTTGTATCAAATGTTTCTTAAAGCTTTTAAAAATCTGGGGGAACAGTAGAGCACCAGACCCTTAAGTATTTCTATTTTAAAGATACTTTTCTTTTCATTTTTCCTTTATTAAACAGATACAATAAAGGGAGACAGACAAGATATTGAAGTGACAATGTCCAATGTTCAATCCAGGGACCAGTTACAATTACATAATGGCCAACTTTCTGAGTCACACGGAAATCCTGTGACTCAGTGCCCATTAAAGAGGAGTTTTTATTTTCTCCTCTCAGTCTTTGAACCCCCAGTAGAGGGGCCCCTACTGGTTAACACCCACAGTTCAATGTGTTCCTGAATACCATGAAATTGTGATGGAAGTATCAACCTGGACAATCTGCACATAAATGTGTTCGACAAGTAGAATAAGTGCAAATCTGCATGAAACAGAAAATGCATAAAAAGTGTTTTTTTTATTATAATCATTGTTATTATTAATGAATCACTTCCACTTTGGAAGCAGATGCATAAAAGATATGAAAAAAAAAAAGTAAGTGAGACAAGCATAGTGGGCCCAAACAAAGACACAGCAACAACACAGGACCTTCAACTGAACAGACAGCATTTTGATTGTTTACATAATTTGTTCTTTCACTTCCTATTATTGCTCCCCAGTCCAACAAGAAGAGTTATGAATCACAAAAAGAATTAAACCTAAGACAAAGCAAAAAGCAACAACACCCACCCCCCTTAAAACCTTGAAAGTAAAAAGTGACAGGCAATTGCAGTTAGGACCAGTTACGTCTCATTTCAGGAATGTAACCAAAAGGTTTCATTTCTTTCAAACAGGATTTTGTTGATTTAAACAAACAACTTGCTTTTGGTTCATCCATTAAGTAAAGATGTATTGAGCCCAACCACAGACAAGTATTTCAGTTGAAACTGAGTGAAGGCTATGACCTATGGAATGTTGAGCTTACAAATATTTTTCTGGGTCCATAACGCTCAAAGAGATGGAAAAGCACTCATGGTTACATTGTATATTTCATCTCGGTGTAAGTGGAGGTTATTCGCATCAAATACATTATCTTGGATAACTTTTATGGGAGCCTCATCCATAACCATTTACAATTCAGATGTTTACAGACAGCATAGAACACCGTTCAGATAATGAAAACAATTAAAAAAAAAGAAAAAAGAAAAAAAAAAAAAAAAGGATTGAATTCTACAGTAGTCCTTGTCCCTGGAGATGTGGATGTTTGTTCAGCTCAGTATTTAATTGTCCACTGCTTGATGCTGGCATCGTGGGAGGCGGTGACTAGAGTGTGCTCATCTACCCAGGCCAGGCCACTAACATGGTGCAACCGGTGAGTGTCTGCAGACATCAAAGCATTAAAGAACAATGTCTTAACACAAAGACAAGTCTTAACAGAGGAAAGTGTACAAACAGTCAAGTTCAGTTTAACAATCAATACATACTGAATTATAATTAAACCCAGGTTTTTGATACTATATAGCATTTTTATGCAATAGCCATTTGATGCATTTAAATTTTGTGATTACCTCTCTATATTCCTGCACTGGATTGAAATGCACAATGTCAGCCTACTGTTTTCAGCTCACTCTCCTATAGTCATATAAACCCACTACTGCTGCCTCACATTAAAAAACATTAAACTGGCGAAATACTGGGTGGCCTTTATTGTAAAGCAGCCATAGGAAACGCAATGTATTTGTCACTGAAGTCAATTTGGTCGTGTTTGAAATCAAATCACAGTTGAAATAATTTTTGACTCACTTCAGCAAAAAAAAAAAAAAAAAAAAAAAAAAAAAAAAAAAAAAAAAAAAAAAAAAAAAAACTAGAATTACAGCCTCGTGGTCGTATGCCTCTGCCAACCACTCCAGTTGCAGTTTTCATGCATGTTTGTCCAGATCGTGTTTTGTGAGGTCACAGTTTGCATGAGTATATGTACATGTGCACTTGTATGGCTTACCTGGGATTTTGAGCCTCTGGTCTGAATCGCTCACCGTCCAGACATAAACCATCATGTCCATCCCACCAGTCGCAAAGTGCTCGTTATCAGGTGACCAGGCCAAGGTCACTGGTTTGGCATGGTGTCCGTAAAACTCACTTTTGACCTGGGGGGGAAAAAAATGAGTGAAAGAAGAGAAGAGACAATGACAATACACTAAACTTAAATAATCCCAAACAGGATATATGTCGGGCAGACAAATGTTTACCGAGTAGCCGTCTGCCACAGTAAAGACCGTGGCCACTTTCTTCTCATCAATGACAGCCAGATAGGCTCCATCATTAGAGTAGGCCATGTCTGTGATCGGACCTTTAACCTCAATTGTTTGACCCTCATCCTTCAGAGTATTGCCCTGAATTGAGTACAGACGGATTTTCCCATCCTGAGGAAAAAAGAAAAAAGAAAAAAAAGGGAAAGGGGTGTGATGAAGAGTGTGCTGTACCGTTTCCTGTAATGGTCACTTAAAGTGATCATGATTACACACCAAGACATGCTGATGGTATTTTTTCCCCAATAAACTCAAAAAGCATTTTCTGGGAATTTCCTCATGTTTGGGAAGATAATGTATGTTGCACTTACTGTTCCCCCCACTGCAGCCGTGGTGCCACCAGGGTGGACAACTCCCACCTCTGCTTCATAGCCGAGATTGTCCAGTGTGAAGACTTTCTTCTTATCCTTCAGCAAGACAACCTAACAAAAGCAAGAGGAAGAATGACGTCATCCGAAAAAGATACAGCAATAACTAAGACCTAAATTTTGGATGACTTTATCTTGTGAATGCAAATGCGCAAATGTGTTCAAGTGAAAACTAAACACCTGATTAGACTAACTGATGCTGACCAACACAAAGACATTACCTGCCCAATGCAGACAGCCAGTGACAGCCCTCCTGGTGCAACTGACACGCTTTTGGGCTGGAAATCCATCTTCACCAGATCAGAGGCACTGAGAACCATCAATTAGGTTATTTATGTGATAATTAAGCATTTAGCAACATTTAGAAGTGGACTGATTTTGGAATAATTACTTTAGTCCGTCAGGTAAAGCAAAATAAAAGACAGAAATTCCAATGACACATACACCCCCAAAGTAATCTTGCATGTAGTTTATATAGTATAGTATAAATGTAAATTTTATGAATTAATTTTTTTAACTTTATTTTGTAATTGCCATTTTCCATCCATGTTATCATAGTGAAACATTCACTTTGATGCGGGACAAAAAGTAGCTCTTATTACTGTGAAAATGTGTATAAATACATGTTTTACACATACGAAAATTACTACATTTTTAAAAAAGTGTTTATGCAGTAACTACAAAACACAAACAACATCAAGGAAAACTATTACCGACTTTCTGCGTGACACATCATTAAGCATAGGCACATCCACCCATTATCAACCGTCAAAACAAAGCTCTACTTCACTTAATCTCCTCTCTACCAGACAACTGCTTTACCCAAATTGACCTCCATCATCATTATCAGACAAAATGCACAACTTCATTATATTCCCCACTAAGTTCATCTCATAGTAGTTATCAGTACATCAACATATATGAAAACCCCACCTGTACTCCTTCTTGTTGACGTTGGTGTAACGCAGCGTATCATCCATGCTGCATGTCACCAGCTCGTTGGCTTCATCAGTCACCATCTTGCTCACCTGGTTGCTGTGGCCCTTTCCTGAGAAGCAGTCGTTCTCCCCAGTTTCTGAATCCCAGTAATGTGAGGGAAATGTTAAGGTCAAAAGTTATGCTCGATATTTAGTGTAGCAGGACGGTAATGGAATGGAGCCATTGTAAGATATCGCTACGGGCGACTGTTGGACTTCAACTCTGTGGTACTGACCGCACCACAGAGCAATTCTTAAACTCTCTTAAAAACTAATGTTGACTGCATAACTCCACAAATACTACAGCCATCTCAAATTTGCTTAATACTGATAGTTTAGTCGTGTTTAGGAATATCACTGCAAGGATGAAGCTCTCTACATGTACCCTTGATATTACTACACATTAACTTTCAATAAAATAGAATTCTGTTGATCTCAGCTTTCCATCAGGCTTCAATTATTTCTTAAAATACTACCCCGGTCTATTTTCAAAAGCATATATGTTCAGTCTACACTTAAAAAGCTCAAATTCCAAACTGCTTTAACAATTTTAGAACAATTTTCCAAACTATACTTCATCTCTTAAATTTATTGCACTTACCAATCAAAACACACTAGTTCAGAGAATTCAGTTGACCTTCCATTTCACAAAGTGCTTTTAAATAAAGTTAAATAGCCTGTGTTTAGCTGCCAACAATGGAATACCCTCACTTTTAGGTCTGACTAAAAGTGAGGGGTTAAGCCCTGGTGCTACCCTCAGTCCTGCGGACCTTTCCATTCTGCTTCAGCAATCTCCTACCAGCAATGCAACTGTGATGAAACTGTATATACAAATGGATAAAAATGCAATTTTTTAAACATTTTTTGGAATTTGGTGAGCAAGTTATACAAAATGAGCCTGTCCAATAGCCAAATATATCTTGTTAGCAGCCTGGGGTATTATGTGGTTGCCATGGCAGTGCGTACAGAGGCAGGCTTCTTGAGGACTAAAGATTTCAGTGTTTCAGGTGTTTTGTATGTCGTCAGCTGTATTAAAAATAAATAAATAAACAAACATTCTGGATATTTGTGTCGAACTGGACGGACAAATGCACTACTGAAATGACAAGCAATTATCACAGTCTGGTAGGACTCATGGCAGTGGACTGTGTGATCCACAATAATAAAAAAAAGGTACAAGAATAACATCTAAATGGAAAAAAGGTAGTGTACATTCAGTATAAATGACACACTTACGGTCATTAATGGCACTACTCAATCACTTAAAGGATATTTATGTGGCCATCGTGACTCCCCGAGTAGATGTATGATCGGCCATCATTTTTGTGAACTGTCAGACACTGGATGGATTTGGTGTGACCCTGTAGGATGAACAAGTACACGTTTTTAGATATATACGTATGAGGACACATAAAGACCAGTTTTATACAATATTAACCCCCTACGCTTTTCACTTTGGCACCCAGAGATTTGGCAGCATATTAATCTTGGATGCTTTTGTGATAACCTGATATAGAGGGAGTGGCATTTTCTGCCTTATTGCCTTCTGTGACATATAATATAATTAAATGCATAAAAAGTCTAGTGGCTCGGTCAGCCCAGTACATACTAAAATTTTGAGGGACTGCAGCTGAAAGAAGAATACTGATGTGATTTTTAACAGAAGCCTCTGGTGTGTGCTCTAGTGAAAGGTTGCTTTATCTCCAGAGGTCAGAGCTGTTTTCAAAATTCCATTGAAAATAGCTCACAGACAAAAAACTAAGAGCTTTATGCAAAAGGAAGCACTCCTGGCAACAAAACAGCAGGACATTCATTTAAATGTGTTTTCATGGTTATGAACACCTTGTTGTATGAAATACAACTTACCTTATACACATTTACAAATCACAGCATAAATATGCGCATTTGAGAACAGTTACAAACCTATTCATATTCATTTGGAGATGCTGATTTACAAAAATCAAAAATACCAATACATGTTAACTAATGTCTGGTTACATATCTTCAATACAAACACGCTTTCATTTCGACAGTGTTTCAGCAAATTAAAAAAATTAAAACCAGCTCCTTTTCCATCCTTGTCAATTTTAGCACAAGGTTTTATCTTTATCAAGGAAGACTACTGATAATATCCAGAAATAGCATCTTTAAACCATCTCACCTTGATTGTGCGTATGGGCCGGTCAGGGTTGTTCTTGTCCAGGTAGTTGATGTATCCTGACAAGGAGATGCTGAGGAGGTGGTCTTTCTGCCACAGGCAGCCCAGCTGCTGGTCGGACACATCAGTGCCCATGTTGAAGGTGGTGACAGCCGTACCTGCACCAACGTCCCAGAGCTTCACGGTCTTGTCCCCCGAGGCAGAGATCAGTTGGGAGCTGTCAGGACTCCAACTGACCTAAAGCAGCGGCGATTGAAAAAAAATGTTATGATATTAAAATGCATGTAACCAAAGTTGCAAATTTTGTGAGTAAAGACTTAAAGTGCCTTATGAATGTTCACTCAGCAGAAACACCAGTGCTATGTGGAAAACAAATATATCAAATCAGTAACTTGAGGACAGATGGAGGGTTTCAGAGAACATAATACCTAATTTGACTATGGAAAGAAGCCCTTTCTGTATCCGCACACTTTTGGCAGGCTGCATGTCAACTCTCTTTTAGCTAGCTCTCCTGAAACGCATGCAGTTAAAGTTATTGGGCCAAAGAATACCAAAGAGGTAAAACACTGCCGCGATGATTTGCTCATGAAAAGATAGACTTGCAAGTCTATCTTTGGGTATGTGTGTCTGTGTGTGTAAATATATATATATATATATATATATACACACACACACACACACACACACACACACACACAGTGTTACACTTTTTATATAAATAACCCACTTACAGCATAGATTCCTCCTTTGTGAGCCTTCTCTCCACCCAGCGAGCAGACACGCTCGCCATTTGTTCCATCATAGATGAAAATCTGTGGAAATTACACTCATTAAAAAGGCGAGGAACATTATTTGATATGCAACTGCAGTTTTTGTGAATTTTGTCTATATAAAACTACCTCTTCAGGATAAGACATCCCTACATCATTGTATTAAGATAATCTTACTTTAAAAATTTCATTTGTTAACATACCCACAGCTGATAATCAAATACTTACCTGGCCATCAGCACCAGCTGTCACAAACCGACTTCCATCTGGAGAGAAACGGACACAGTTGACAAACTGGCTGTGGTCCTTTAGTAATCACCGGGGAGACAGAGAGGAAGAAAAATTGTGGAAAATTATTCATAAGGAAAGATTGTGCACATTACAGTTTATATTTGGAACGACAACTCATACTTTCAGTCTGTTATCAAAACACATTGCATTCTTTGTCATCCTAATGTCATCCTCATTTCATACCATCAGGGCTGACCAGGACTTCTGTTTATTTACATAAAAACTCAAACAATTTTACAAAAAAATGCACTGCACACTGCAAGAATAGCACCAAAGTTCATGTGCAACAAGACAACAGGGCATGGGTTTCAGAGGAACAAGTGTGCTTGACTTTTCAAAAATTGCTTTTCTTAAAACAGAAAACAATACAATATATATAAATAACAAGAAAGCCAAACATATGAGTATTTCTACTGTATGACACAGTTTACATGCAACTATAACACCCTCGGTCAGCACTACAAAATACATTCAGAATTCTATGCTAAAAAAATAACTGCAGACTGAATACTAAAACCAGACCACTGATGCCTTTAAGTAGAGGACAAAGTATAAAGGTTTGGTTGTTAAAAATGTATAATATAAGTATAATATATAATAGAGAAGGCCTGGATTTAGGAATGCAGCTCACACATTCTCCAAGAATTTATGGGGGAAGTGAGTTATGTAATATGGAAACAGACAAACAAGGCAACACTGTCCAAATCCACCAGGGTGTGACAGACTTGGGAGGACCAACTGATATCACAGATAAGATCGCTTGTTCAAAGTCACAGAAAAAATCCTAACCATACTGCAATGTCTGCATTTGCTGAAGGACAATATTTTGTTAGTAATATTAAGACAGCAAGGTGAAGATGACATTTAGCCTTCTGTTGGTCTGTTGGGTTTTAGTCCACTGGTTAAACAGTAGAGCCTGAAAACCTCAAGCAAAATCAACTTGGCTCCACCTATTTTGTTTAAACACAAATAACCCTTTGAAGAACCTAATCAAATTCATTGGGTACAAAAAAAAAAAAAAAAAAAAATCTTCAACTCACACGTAATGTGAACTTGAACTTGAAGGGAGGCCCCTCGTAGAAGGAACCAGAGGTGTCATCGCTGGCAGTGGCAAGGCGGTAAGGGCGTTTCTGCCTTATGTCTACACTGTTGATTAATTTGGAGTGGCCGGAAACCTCCCCCACTGAGGAGCCAGAGTCCCACAGGAACACTGCCCCAAACCTACAGGACAAGATGAACACACATACAGTTGTTCCGGGTTTATGTGACGTCTGAGAGAGGAATAAAAATAGTTAAAAGACCTGAATATAATAACAAGTCTAAAAATCTCCCAGGATGGAAAAGGACAGAACTTAGTGACATGCTAGAAAGCACCAAATAAGCCACTCTGGTATGTTAAAACAGAAAATAACTAAAGCAAACAATGGACTTGTGCCCAATGCACATTAATAATCAGTGTGACTGTCGGCCTGAGGAGGAGCCTCTCATGAGACTGGGTCATACTGGTCAGGGTTTAATGGGGCTAACTGCTTTCATTTCTTGGAGATGAATAAACCTTTTTTCATGTTATAAAAACTCCAGATACTCACTTCTCTCGTCCATCACCAACAATTGCAATCCTCTTGCTGTCCTCTGTCCATGCAATGTCCTTAATCTTCCCCGAAATAGGGGTGTACTCGTACTTGAGCAGGTGCTCCTTCTGGGTGGTGTCCCAGATACGGATCTTTCCAGATGCATCTTAAGGATTTAAATACAATCGTTTCATTATAGTATTAAAATTACTGTGGTAACTACATGCATAAGGCACATGTTTGTTGACAAGAGTTCATATCAGGGTTGTTTACCTCCAGATGCAATGTAGAATCCACTGGGGGCATACTTGGCAACAGTAACTGGATGGGCATGTTCAGTGTAAATATCTGCGATAGCCGGGTTCTGGAAAACACAGCAAATGGTATATAGGTGGTTCCCTTCAAAATCAGTACAAAGAAAAGGAAAATTCAGGACTTACTTTCAGAGTTTTGACCATCGCTCATATTTGGTTATGATAACATTTTACTCATTTACTCCTGATTCATTCAGGAAAAACAGACAGGCACAAGCATCTCAGCTCAACAGAGCCTTGTAGTCCATGTTCAATACACACCGATCTGACTCTTATAGGTGTGGTTACAGGTGCAACACAGGCTGTGCTCCATTTGGCCATGTCATTGTGCCACATGTTATGTAGTGGAAAAGGGGTGGGGAAAGTTTTAAATGAGTGCAGGTGGCAGATGAGGCAGCAGGTATGACAGTGGGTCCCTATCAGCTAACAATCAAGCAGCAGCAGGTAGTAACTCTTGTTGCTTGCTGAGGATGACTTCTATACCTACTGAAATGGAAATAGTTGAAACGTAATGCGAAAAAGTGCTAAAATCTAAACATGCTAAACCCTTCCAGACAGAACAGTAATCGTACTATTTCCATTTGGAAATGGCATGAGAAGTCGTGACAAATACATGTCTTATTAGTCTCTCTTGCCATTATATTATTACACATGATATTAGTTGCTGCACAAGGCATCAGTTAAGGTCGGCATAAGTTGCATGTGCCATTTTGTTTGCACCAACAGCACACCTTACACAGATGCTGGATGTGATCAGAGGCGCAATAACAGTTCAGTGAAAGTTTTGAGGTTGGTGTTGACTTATTCTTTAAAATTTGGCTCACCAAATTCAGTTCAATCAAAACAATTTACTGCAATTGGTGAGTAAAATGTCATTGTGACTAACATGAGTAATGGCCAAAACAAGACCCAGGTTGATAAAAAAAAAATACATGAATGTATGAATAAGCAACATTTGTTGAATATGACTAAAAAAAATCATAATTACTTCAATGTTCCTGATGACGACACACTTCCCATTGGTATACAGGAAGTTGTTGCCTTTGGGATCGCCGCCAATCACTTTCGCAACTCCCCTCTCCATCTGCGGGAGGCTGGCGAATACATGTTCTGAAAGAGTCGACATCAAAGGAAAGATGACAGGTGTTGACAAACAGATGACAAATAATGTGAAACATTCAGGTTAATACAACTCAAATGAGCACATGAAGAAGAAAAAAAAGTATTGATCTGAACTATTCAATAAGGAAGTGAGACAAATTACCACACTGTATATCTATATAAGGCAACATGAGCGGATAGCGCTTGACAATCTGTCACTTGTGTAGCCTAGGCTATAACCTTGAACCACTACCGTTTCAAACACAATATAAGCATATGCAGAGTGTATCAGCATTGTTCAGTTCTTCATTGATCATTTTGAAGACTTCATGTGCTGAACATGGTGTCTGATACATCGCTCGTCTTTCCACACTGCCAGGTCTGTCTGCACTGGTCAAAACAGACCAATTTAGTGCAAAGCTGTCATAGTGGTGTCAATGGGTAGTTTATTGCTCCTACAGAAATTAGGTTCACAGAGGGTTTGGCCATTATATCACAACCACCTGAATATCATTAATATTAAAGGAGGTGTCTTTTAAGCTTGAAAAAAAACAATGGATATAGGTGCATTATGTTTTTTCAGCTCTTCACTTCCTGAAACTATTCCTCATTTTACTAAGAAACTGTGACCAATTGTTTCCACCTTTCTAACTGATCATTTTAAGGCTCAATTCTTTGGGGGTTCTAATCTTAGAGAAAACTGAAAGAAAGTGTACATCAATTTTACAATTCTTATCTTTGAGTACATAAAATAATATAAATATATAAATTCACCAACAAAACGCCTCTTTCTTCTGTTTACCGTTAGGAAAGACCATTAAATCTTATTGCCTTCAAGACAGCTGTAACAGGGTTGGTGCATTTACTGTGCTTCCGCATTGGAAGAAGGAAAAAAAAATCAGTTTTCTTATTGAGGACACCAGCTCTTATCCCCAATAACTCGACATTAAAATTACAGCCCAAACCCTTTATTTCGCGCTTGTTCAGCAGCCACAAACTGTCTATCTACTGGCGCTACTTCCCCAACAGCGGTTCCTGACTGTCTGGACATGTCATAACAAAGCGATGTGAGCGCAACTATTTCCTCTGACTGACGTTAGCTCAACCAGCTAACGCTAACTTAAATGAACAGCGCTGTAACATGATTGCATTTCGAGCCGGGCATCTTCACAGCAAACCGTGCTTACCAGACCCACCCCGTAGTAAATCTAGTTTAATGATTGGCGTTGCGAGATTTCGCCTTTAATTTGCGAGATGAAGTGTCAAAAATTGTGCAGCTATGTATGGGCGAGGCTAGCTAGCTGCGGGCTACCTGAATGACTAGCTCAATCTGCTGAAAGGTATCGCCCAAAATGAGAGTTTCGTTGCTATTCATCTCAGCCGCTGCCATTAAGAACAAAGCAGACTTACTCAGTTCATACGGCATTTTCCCTGCTGGTCTCTTGCTTAACGTTACTCTTCCAAATGAATGAAAAAGTGGAGACAGTGAAGCTCCCCCGGCTGTGCACTCCCCGATCACACAAACACGGAAGCAAGTGCAGCTCTCGCACAGCCTGGCTTTGCCCATATATAGTAAACTCAGATACTACGCTGCGGCTGTCAGCCACTAGCCATGCACTGCTGCTTATGGGTTGATTTCCCCCTCTTATTTGTCTTTAAGGCTCTCAGGCAATTGCCCCACCAGTACAATCGGCTAAATTAACATCAGTTTGAGCTTCACATTTGCTATCAATAAATTCACAGTCAAAGGGCTAATTTTCCTCAAAATGCAAGATTTTCCTAACCGTCTTGATAAAATAATACTCCATTTCCAAAATTGTATATCTTTTTCGTCTGGTCTAATATGAGGCCAATTTTTCATTGTGCAGCTCTGGAAATTCACTTAATTAATTTTTTGTCTATTTTTTCAGTTCAAAAAGCCACCATGGCCACCAGTCACCATGCCACTCTGCACTAGGGTTAGAGTTAGTAGTTAAAGTTAAAGTTACTGGGCATGGTTCAAATGGGGCGTGGTTGTAGGAGGCGTGGTTTATAGCATCTGCAAGACAGCTGGACCCTTCTACACTCATGGCACTATGATCATCCACGCAAAATCATCACAACTCATTTCATACAATAATGAAGTGAGCCATGCTGCTTCTCCTCATTAGGCCTAATTTGAACTCTGCTTAAGTGCAGTTAAACAACCCTCTGGATTTTTTCAAGATTTATATTAGATTTATATTTCATAAAAAATGGATGCTTACCTCTGTGGCTTCAATGTAATGATAATCTATGAGAGGAGCAAGGGAGGAGGGATATGTACGCAGGGGAAGGTCTGCCTGTGAAGCCCAAATCAGGGCAAAATATTCACAGATTTTGAGATATGCTACTTTGGCTCCCAGAGAAAATTATGCTAGCATGAATAACCAAATTAAATGCCCAGAGGGGTAAAGGAGGTCTATTTAACAAGTGACGGAGGGTAGCCCACTGACTTATTTTAGTTTAGTTTCATGATGGTGATTCTAAATCCGATGTCATCCTGTGTGTCAGAGAGCATCACTTGCCTAGAATAGGATTGGGAATCCCCTGACCTATTTAGGATGGACCCATTTCAGAGGGTGGCAACAGCAAATATAATTTTACAACAATATAGAAGTTTGAGGACGATATTATAAGCAATAGATATAATAATGAGAAAGATTTGTGAGGGAGTGGTAAAATGTGCATCCTCAGCTGTTCACATAAAGATGGACACAGATGAACTGCTTGACATTTTGAGCCCCCCTGAGCTGAACTAAACAACAGCTTTGACACAATAAATAACCATAATCCCTTACATGTTCCAGGGGCCCTGTCTAGCTCTGGCCCCCCTGAATCATTCAAACTGATATGAACACTAAGCTTCACCAGGATTGTATTTATTGCACCATCATTGTAGGGCCCAGTATTATAAGGTTTTCCTGTTACCTATTTTGTGTACCTCTTTCTGAATTCTCCTCATACTTCACCACACATTATTCTTTTTGTGCCATCTCATCTTCAGTGTGAGCATGCTACCCTGATTAAGGCTGCTTTTCAACCGCAGAAAGGTGATCTTACACATAAATGAGCACAAGATTTTACAGACAGTCATTTCCTGTTTATGTACAGTTGCATTCTGAGACTGTGCTTATACATTAATCCAATACTAATATAGCATAATATAGATCTGTCTGTTCCCTTCCAAATAGCTGTTACAATAAATGAGTGGAATCCAGAAGATGACTGTGTTGCCAGGCATTTTCATTCATCGGGTGTCTACAGGTAACTAGCAATGACTTTGTTTTAAGCCTATCTTCTTCCTCAGATGACATCAAACTGCCTGAGGAACAAAATTCTCACTTTTGTACACTATGCGTTTTACATCTTGCCTTTTGTTTAGATTATTTCATGCAAGGCAAAAGTTCCCCTCTCTGCAATGTAATTCCATCACATCCCAACTCAGGTTTTCGGTTTTAGTCTAAGATACAGGTTTCAGACTGGCTATGTGATATGACTGTGTCATGTAAGTTGAGGTCCCATGTTCAAGCCCTCATGTTTCCCACCAACCATCTGGTCTGCAGACAGTTCCCAGTGGTGGAAGAGGAGGAGGAGGCTATTTGCACTCGCTTACCACACCTGCTTCATCCACCTAGGGACACTGTTGTCCCGTGGTTAGTGATACACTGCATTTAAAATCCTGCTTATGCACACTAATTTTGATGTTAAAATGTAAAAAAAATTTCATTGTGTAGGTTTATCATTTTGGATGATGATTAGGCTTATTTGAGCTTTCATTTTCTTCAGTGGCTACTCTAGGGTGTTCATGTACAAACCTTTACAGACATTCAGATTCAGTAAGTGTCACCATCTCTATTTCAATGCTGTTTTTTTTCAGTGAAAGTTAAGATTTCGATTTAGTTTCAGTGTGTGTCACTGACTGAATGTTAATGAATGTTTCATTTCATATTTTATTTACATGTTCACTTTGAATTTTACATTCAATTCCAACATGATCGTATTCACAGTATCACACTATGTTACTTCTGCCGCTAGGGGTTTCTCAATCAAAAAAACAAGACAAAAGACGACATTGGGTGACGTCATGAAATAGCGTGGGGTCGTGGGAGTTGTTGTCCACACACTAGTCATTTTTAGACATTTTTATGTGGAAAAGTTACATATTATAACTTATTATAACAGTATTGTTATTTTATCATTCTATCATTCTATTCTATCATTCTATCATTACTCATATTAGTGGTGCAGATAGTCAAAACAATTGTGCATTTTATGACTAAAGCATGAAAGTTTCAGCATATAATCTACATACCCCAAGGTTTTATTTTAGACGTGGAGGGAATTTGTATCTGACCTCTGGTGACCTTTAGAGGTCATTGACCCCAGCATTGCATTTTTCTAGTTTTTGCCCCATTTCTTCACTATCATCATGTATATCTTTGCCAAGATTGCATAAAGATGCTTTTTTGCTGCTGTGGCCATGTTTTGTAGGGCTTCTGCAGACCCCACCATTTCCAGATGTTAGGTAGCTATAGCTTGTTAAAAACATTGACAACTTCTGCTGTGTGTAACATGGAATCACAAGACTAGCTAGCACATTAGCGAACATTCTAATCAGAGACTAGCACGCTAGTTTGGTGGGGACCACACTCATTACTCCAGGGGGCTCTGCCCTGTCCCAGGGGTCATATCTGAAGTGCCTCCATGTCTGAAAATAAACTTTATGGTTTATAGAAACACTGGAGAAAGTTTCATGTTTTAGTCATAAAATCCACAATACCTTCCATATACACGCTTATCTGCTGCACTAATAGTAATACCCTAAATAAACACAGACCCTGGGGCGCACCAGTATCTCACCCGGTTCAGAATTCTAGTGTCCGCTGTTGATCAAAAAACATTCTAAATAATGTTTAGAATGTTTGTGTTTGAAATATTTAACAAACAATATTATAACAAACTACTTTTGTTTTGAGTCAAGAGTGGAGAAGACCTGTGAGTCTTGATATATCCTCAAACAAAACATGGCAACAGACATCTTTAAAGAGGAATACAACAATGTCCAGGAGGAAAATGACAGATATAGGCAGCTCAACAGCCAGCTGAAGGATCATTTGGTCTGTCTGGATAGGGAGGTAAACTACCAGACAGATATACTCATCCAAAGGTCTACATAAGCTAAAGATTAAACAAGCGTTTAGTTTGCATGTATCACTTAGAAGAAAGTGTTTTAAGTGTTTAAGTGCATTATTATTTCTCTTGGATTTTATTTCATTTTTATTATATATAATATAATATGCATTTGTTACAATATATGTAGCAGAAGTCACAGTTATAGTGAGTATTATAGTAGTATGTGCAGTAGTGGTGCTAGTAACAGCAGACACAGTAGAAGTTGTGGTGCACTAGTATGTTTTATAAAGAGTTACATACTGGTGTGATAGCTATTTGATCAGATACAGTATGGTTAGATATACAGCAGCTGGTTTTAGCATTCAACCAAATCATTCTTTTATCATTCACTTACTCATTTATTTCAGCACATTGGATTTGAAATGAAACAATGACAATGAAGTTAAAGAGTTGACTTTCAATTGTAGTAGCCTATATTTTACACATGCAGTATTCTGTGAACGGTGTTTAGGACTTGTAGAGTAGTCTTATCACTATAATGCTGCACTGTTCAAAAAATTTCAAGAGACTGTGATGACATGGCTACGGTTTCTCTGCTACTGCTCAATATGGATCTGAACACCTTAAAAATGAGAATCAGCTGTTAAATTCATGGTCAGTGTTTCATTTTTAAATCCATCGTGCTACAGGCAGCCAGGGACAAAGAAAATGTGTCACAGAGTGTATTGTATGTATTGTGTCTTCTTTCCTGCATGGCTCCAGATAGCTGTGGCAGACAGCAGGATTCAAGAGAAATTAACAATCCCTGGTGGCATCGTCAAACACCAAGGGAAACATCGTCGCCACATGGGACGCATTCGCATCTTAGAAAACGAACTCCACCAGGTACTAATGATAATAAAACTACAAACCCATAACCTTGACTTTTCTAAGCCTATTACACACCATTATAATACAGTATCGGCTACATTCAAAACCCATGAATCAGTACCTTTAAAGAATTAATTTGTCAATTTTGGAAACACACTCATAAACTTTATTGCTGAGTTAGATAGATTATAGTCTTTATGCCTTTTATTTATCAGACAGATATAAGAGTTGTAACAATTATATCAAGAGAAAATAAGCATAATACCCTTCAAAAAGTTCAACTATTCCTTAATTACAATCCCTAATTTTAAACTGATGTCCTTTTCTACTGTCTAAGCCCCTCAACAAGAACTTGCTATAATACCCACCCTGATTTTTACGCAAATTTAAATGCCCAAAACAATGAACTGCCTGTAATTCATCATTTAATCAAATTCTTTGCTTGTCTTCTACAGGACACTATTAAATTCAGTAAACTGATGTGCAGCAATGCAGATTAC